TAATGGCTCCAGTAGAAAATAGTTCATACAAGACTCCATTAGGGTATGATTGTACGGCTCTAGAGCAACTGCCAAAATCTTCCAAACTTCTCCTATAAATACCCCCTTCTATCAACACTTCAAAAAAGAAAAAAAAAAGAAACACTCAGACCATTCTTATACTTGATCATTTATAAAGGTCTATTCCTTACTAAAACTCTGAGTAATATTTCTCTGAGAGAAAACCTTTTGTGTTAAAGGCTATGTGTTCTTCAAGCATGTGTTCTTCAAGCTTAAACTGAGAAAAATACATATTCACAAAGTAGATATTAAAATATATTTCTCCAGAATCTTTCTTTTACAAACAATATTTAAAACAATCCGTAAAATCCAAGGAAAATAATACAACTCTGGGAGAGTGTCGACCAATATAGTTTATATACAGAAATATAGTACACCTCAGAATTAAAAACTGTAAATTCAAAACAAATGAACCACTTCGAATCTCGCACCTTTAATCCATTAGCATCCACTTGCCATGCTGTAAATCTAAACTGCTAACTCTGAAGGGGGGACGAAAGGCCCAATAGGATATAATTTATAAAACTGAATAAATAAATGGAAGTACAGGCTCGAATGAATCATTCAGAACCAAACAACCTTTTTCTGAAAGGAAAATAAACTTAAATTACTGGTTTCAGGCACCAGTAAGTAATTTAATGATAAATTACTTACAACCATTGTAAGGCCAATCACCACCGTAGTGGCCCGTACGGGTTTCGGATCCTGCCCCTAAGGATACGATCTCCATATCCTGATCTCTAGGCCATCAGCATTGTTACCATTTCTTAAAACATCTTACTTCAACAAAATATCCGTTAAACCTTGATTCAGTTCATTATGAATTCAATAGCATAAATCATGCTATTTCCTTAAAATACTTTTCTTTATAAAACATGTTTTGTCTTAAAAATATTTCCATAGGTCAAAACACTTTAAAGCAAGGCTAACAAGGACGTGGACAATAATATCCTACCTCTTGACAATTTAGTCTACGGATAACTTCACGTTGTCCAATCGTCTATTTTTGAAGCTCCCTGTCTGATCGCTCCGCTAATTTCGTAATCAAAATAATGTTTTAGATCTTAGTTCTCACCTCTAAAACAATTCTAGTTCAACTATGTTCAATTGCTTCCTACCAGTGTGCATTGACTCAAATCCAAGGTTGGTAACCAATTTTCATGATTCAATTTGGAATTCTTTAAAAATCAAAACTCAAACAATTAATTTGGTTTCCAATTGAGATTTAGCTCGAAAAATAAGTTTTAAAAAATTTCGCCAGCTGTAAGGAAAATGCCAAAACCTGCAGTTTGAGTTTAGTTCCAAAACAAATTCTCAGGAAATCACTAAAACTAGTTTCCAAACACTTCAACAAGTTCAGTAACTGAAAACCCCCAAATTTAATCAAAGTTTAACCACAATTTGTTCAAATATAATCCCTAACACAAATTCATCAAATCTAGCCAAAAATTACACTTTCTCAAGTTAGAAATTCAAATCAAGGAGTGGGTTTCAAGGGCTTTTACCTCAAATTAGTTGATTGAGCCATTCTCTCTCTTTTCTCTATTTCTTTTCTTCTTCTCCTGCTTTGGCTGGAACCCAAAAGAGAGAGAAAGAGGGGGGAAAATGAGAGAAAGTGAGAGTAAGGTTGGGAGAGAGAAGCTAGCGGTGAAGGAAGCAGAGGAGAGAGAGAAAAGGAAAAGAAAGAGAAGAGAGAGAGAGTGGCGTGGAAGCTGCGGGAGGGAAAGAGAAAAAGAAAAGAAAAGAAAAGAGAGAAAAGGAAAAAAGAAAGGAAAGAAAAAGAAAAAGAAAAAGAAAAAGGGAAAAATATATTAAGGAATATTTAGAGAAAAAGGAAATAAGTGTATTTTTAAAATTTTTGGAGTGAAATTTTTAAAACTATAAGTAGTTAAAATTTCTTGAAAATAACTTAGAAATGATATTTTAATGACATGATTAATTAATAAAATTAGTATTAGGCACAATAATATATCACAATTAATGTAATTAAACATACTTAGTTCTTCCGGTTGTTACATAATATCCACACTCTCCGAGTCAAATCTCCATCAACCATTCGGTTACTCCTCACACCATACTTCGTCCATGTGATCTCTATGACTATATCCGAACTCTTCCCATGCTTGAGTTGACGTCTTCGTAAGGTGGCGACAAAGTAGGCCCTAGAATTCATTTTCTTCGACTTACTTTGGGCCTAACTGATCCCTTCTTCTCTGTTGGAGGTCCAACCGTACAAGCTCCTCTATGGACGCCGTGTGTTTCATCTGCGTCAGCATTGATACCATCAAATCCAGTACTTACACGTGTATACTTTGTACACGTCGTACCCACCGAATCTACAAGGCCCCAACAATTGTCTTCCACGTAAGGAAACTATATCTTCTGTAATTACGCAAAAAAGAGGCTAGATCAACTCCAAAAGGGCAATGAATCATGCATGATCAATCAACTATGAGGAGAACCACTTAAGGAAAGTCATATGGCACTTAAGAAGCAAAAAAAATCACGAATTTAAGGCAAAATCACTCAGAGAATCAAGAAACAACTCGTGGAGCCTCTTCTACTATAAATACAAGGCACTTAGACATCTTTGAGGACACGCGACATCATCTTCTTAAGCACGCACAAGCTATCACATTCACTTACAACACTTTATCTATTATTTACTTTATTTTCCAGCATACATTTCTCTCTCTTATCTCGTTCTTCTCACAATGACTCTTGTAACGCTTTTCAACACTCATAATGAAACCATTGGCGCCCTACAATGGACGTACCTTACATTATCAGGGGAACCCCTATAAATTCCTGTGTCTTTTTACTAGTTTTATTTATTTTCACGTTTACTAACTCTCTCATTCTCGTAGCAGATCAATTTCACTAATCGATGACTCCTAACTTAGTCATTAGCCCTTGATTCTCTAATTGTAGATTTTACCCTCTACAAAGAGCAAAATGAAAAAGTGAGGGACGATATAATAAAATCTATCCTACAGTACATTGTCTTGTTTATCGTTGTTCGTAATAGCTAATACGTAATAACTTTTGTGTAACTGATAACATAAAGAAAAAACTCTCCTAAAGTAATGAATCTTTCTTGTTTGCTATATCTTTAAACTATCAGATTATCCATTTCCATGAACCATTTTAATACCATTTATTTTGATAATAGTTAAACTCCACGTGCGATGGACATGGGGAGTAATCTGCGTATTAACTTTTAATCATCATGTTATTATTAAAAACATATTAAATCTAAACATAAAATCCCAAAAAGAAACAAAATGGGGAAAAAAAGTTTTCAGGTAAGAAGCCAAAAAATGAGTAAAAAAAAAAAGGATTAAAATGAAGAAATAAATAATTTTTGGGGCAAAAAGAATCAAAATTAAAAAATAAAGTTTTAAAAAAAGCTAAAATGAAAAAATTTAAAACAAAAGGAACCAAAATGGAAAAAAAAAAAAAAAACAAACAAACAAAATTTCAGGACAAAAAAGCGTTAGAAAAGGACTAAGACGAAGAAATAGATAAGTTATTGGGAAAAAGTGACCAGAACAAAAAAAAATAAAGTTGTAAAAACAAAAATTAGTTTAAAAAGGACTAAAATGAAGAAATAAATAAGTTTTAGCGCAAACAGAACCAAAACAAAATATAAAATAAAATTTCAGGACAAATATTAATAAAAGAGTAAGCAAATGACTAAAATGAAGAAATAAATAAGTTTTAGGGTGATTAGCAAAAAAAAAAATAACTTTTAGCGTAAAAGGAACCAAAACAAAAAAAAAATAAAGTTTCAAGGCAAAAGTAAAAAAAAAAGGTATAAAAAGTCTAAAATGAAGAAATAAATAAGTTTTTGTGGAAAAGAAACCAAAACAAAAAAAAAATTAGGCAAAAATAAAAAAGGGTAAAAAAAAGGAGTAAAATGAAAAAAAATAAGTTTAGAGTAAAAAGAATCAAAACGAAAAAAATAAAGATTTAGAGCAAAAATAAAAAAAATATAAGAAAAAGATCAAAATAAATAAATAAATAAATTTTAGGGCAAAAGAAATAAAAAAATAAAATAAAATTTCAAGATGATAATAATAAAAAAGGGAAGGGACTAAAATGAAAAAATATATAAATTTTAAGATAAAATGTAAAAAGAAAAAAGTGGAGGACTTAAAAAAAAGGAGGGAGGGGCATGCATTTCTACCAAAACGCCCACAAAAAGTGAAAGCACATTGTGCTTTCTTATATATAGATAATCAATTGGTATAGGTGTCACAGAAACTTACTAAACAATGTGGTATGTACAAGTAGTGTACAGATGGTATATGTGGCACATTGTACAAGTAGTGTACAGATGGTATATGTGGCACATTGTACAAGTGCATAATCTGACGCAAAATGTTTAAGAATATCACGGATATTAAATACTATTATTAATAAAAAATGAATTTTATTTGTGAATTTCACATTGTAAATTTATCTTTTATTAATAAATGGTATTAAGTATCACTGTATCTTATAACATTGTTCAGATCTACGATCAATTGAACAAATTTTATTACAAGTGCGGATGTGGGGTCGTGGTCTTCGTTCTACAGGCACAACGTGTGGCTTATTTTGAGCCACGTCCAAACAGTATCTTTTTCTCTCTGGTTGGTACCTCACTCGTATAGCTCAGTTCGTTAAACATAGTTGTTCACTGCACAATATATTATATACATTACATACATATATATATATATATTAATTTGTGTGTATATATACACACAAGCACACATAAACACGGAAAACTATATTGAGCTACGATACATTAAACAATTTCGATATTATTGTTCCATTTCATTGTTTCTTTACTTGATTCTTCTTTCTTTTCTTTTTTCTTAACTTTTTCCCCCTCTGCTTATGCATTTACTTTTAACCAAATTGAAACAGAGAAAAGTATCACATTCTGGACCATGGAAAGACCAACAGTAGGGAAGAAAATTGCGAATGTATATCTCAGGCAAGGATCCGGAACAGATTGTCAAGAGAATCCAAACCCAAACACAGCAACCACATCGACAGTGGACGACCCGGATTCCACAGAAATAAGCATTTTCGACGCCGAGAAGTACTTCAACGAACTAACCCTTCTGGAAGCTCAAAAGCCGACCATCATTAATGGTGGCAACAGGGTTCTTCCGGCAGAGAACGTTATCATCGAGCCTCCGAGATTCTCCTCGGCGTCGTCGTCAACCATAGACGGTCATTCAAGCTTTTATCGGAACTACAGGACTCGATCTTTCCGCTCCGCCGCCACCCCAACCGCCTCGTCGGAGGCCAGCTGGAACAGCCAGACGGGCCTCCTATCGGTCCAGCCGGGAGCCATGGCAGTGTCTCTTCGAAACCCTCTCTCTCCAACCGAAAAGAAAAGCGCCGGAAATTTGCCGGCATCGCCTTCTCCCTCAACGTCATTTAGGTGGCTTAGCTTGACACGAAAATGTCCTTGTTCTTGCAATAAATCTGTCCAAGTTAAGGAGAAATCAGTCCAGAAAAGACCGGAAAATTTACTGCCAGCACGAATCCCGACATCCTCAGCTGAATGCCGGTTATTGCGTAGCAGCCAAATCCTTAGAGGTGTCTCAAAGACTTCATCCATGGCGGAAATTAGGACGATTTCCATGCAAAACTGGTGTCAAACTACTCCTCTTCAGCGACGAAACTCTCGTGAAACAAGATCACCGTTCTCGTCCTCTTCAAATGATCCTCCGAAATTGCAGGTTTTGTACGAGAATAACAAGGATTTAGGTGGATCGGCAATCAGAATTAGGTCGTCTTTTACGGATCATGGCAGTGGTGGCAATTCTAACGCTACTGCTACTGCCGCTGGATTTACATTTCCAATACTAAACGTAGATGGCGGTATACTACAAAAAAATTCTGTGGAAGATCCATCTCGCGACTCCCTCGAAGTTTTCCGACCGTCCAATGATCATCAACAACCGTCAACAAGCAGGAAGAACTCCGATCAATTCCCGAGATCAGATCGACCTAATCATCAGGTCTTCACGTTCCCTGCAAGTCCTAGTACTCGGATGAAAAACGTCGACGTCGACGACGTTGCCAGTGATGCCAGCTCCGACTTGTTCGAGATAGAAAGCTTTTCGACTCAGACAACGACAACGACGATGACGACAACAACGGCCACTCCGGCTCACCCGCCGCCAATCTTCCTTTACAGGAGGGACTCCATGGAGGAAGCTGCTGCAGCTTCTTCCAGCTTCCAAGCTTTCCGCAGGCTGGGGCCAAGCGCCGTCGTAGAGGGTATGTACGACGAGCCGATGACGCCAACGACAGAGTGCTTTTATGAGCCAAGCGAGGCAAGTATCGACTGGAGCGTGACGACGGCGGAGGGGTTTGACCGAGCGAGCATAGCGAACGCATCGGAGGCTGACTATGGCGATTTCGCTGCAACAGAAGTTCCGGTGCCGGAGAAGAGTAGGCGTAAGTCGTCCGGAAATGGAGGATTGCTGATGAGCTGCAGGTGCGAGAAGGCCGTGAGTGTTGGCCATCCGGGCCCACGGCCCGTGAAGCTGGCTGGGCCCATGCTGGGTGGTTATGCCGGGGATCAGCAACATCCAGTGGGTCCCGGGATATCGAGCTCCACAATGGCCATGTGGGCGGTGGGGCACAAGCTGTGAAAGAGCCAATGTGTTTCAAGACTCGCACAGCTTTTCTTGTCTATTGTTTTTTACAACAAAATCACTTATCAGAGAGAAGAGAAGGCTCTGTGAAGACATTTCACGAACATGTAGTGTTCATGCATGCATGGCACGCCTTGTCCGCATCCAGTTTCCATAAAGCCAGTGCTCTCTCACTCTATCTGATCACTTGCTTTGTCGTTATAATGTTTTCTGAATTCGAACTTATTTGCCGAGAGAGAGTTTTCAATAATCCCTTTTACAATCTTTTTAACGTTTCTTTCTCTAATCTTTCTATGATATTATTTATTTTTTTATTTTTGGTATATAATATAATATAACAAAGAAGCATCAATCTCACTTTAAACATAAATATATCTGTTGGAGTGATTCCAACACCAAACTCGCAGGAATTTTAAGAAACTATAAAATCAACAAGAATAAGAACGTAGGAGATTTGTTTGACCGAGGTTCGGAATAAAATTCCTATATTCCCGTTAAGCTCTTCCGCAGAAAGACTCTTTTCACTATTCAGAGAAAGTACACCCTCAATTCCTCACAAACCCGATATTTCCTCAGAATACAAAAAACTCACACCCAAGAGATGAAATTAAGCGTACAACAAGATGAATTCCCAGTGAAAGAACAAAACCCAAGAACTCTCCCAGATCCCCTTGTTCCCCAGCTTACAATTTCTCTCTTTCTCGGAAAACCCTAGAGTTTATCTCTCTAGAAATCTCTTCTGAAGAATACCACTTTCTCTCTCTTCGTTTGTTTTCCCGTGAAGAAGCAAATGAGGTGAATAATGTGGTTCCAAGTCTTCCAAAACCATATATAGTAATAATGGTCAACAAGTAAACAAACCTTGCCACGTGTCCTATTTTGATTAGCTGAAGCTCTCAAAATATCCAGCTCGGCAAGACAGTCCTATAGCTGCCCCAAACAACATGCGTTTATGCCCTGGGATGCCTTTCTCTGTTGATGTCGTATTTATGAGATTATCCTTACAAATTCCACCTTAATCTCAAAAACGAACGACATTGTCTTTGAATAAGAAACTCCTTCTGCGGATGTCATTGCTCAGACTTGATAATTCAAGTCTTTCCAATGCCTAGCAAGTCCAGACACTTATGAAGCTTGCTAGCACTGATCACCTTTGTTGCCATATCTGATGGATTGTCCTCTGTGTCAATCTTTTCCAATAGAACTACTCCTTATTCCACCTTCTCTCTGATGAAATGATGCCTCACATCGATGTGCTTTGTCTTCTCATGGTAGACTGGATTTTTACACAAATGAATTGTTGAATGACTATATGAGAAAATGGTTGTTGGCCCTTTTAACACCTCTAACTCCTTTAGCAGTCCTTGTAACCACATTGCTTCTTTAAAACCTTCGGTTCCTGCAATGTATTCAGCCTCAGTACTTGATAATGCTATGACCGGTTGGAGTTGTGACTTCCAACTTATACAATTTCCATCCAAGGTCATCATATATTCTGATGTAGATCTCCTCATGTCCCTATCACCTGCAAAATCAGAATCCACAAAACCCTCCAAGATCAAGTGATTAGTTATGTATCTATAAGTAAGACCATAATCAATAGTGGAATTAACATACTTTAATAACCACTTCATAGCTAACCAATGATCTGGACCTGGGTTTGTCATATATTTACTTAATACACTCATAGAATAGGCTAAATCAGGTCTAGTACAGATCATGGAGTACATGAGTGATCCTACATCACTAGCATATGGGATTTTAGCCATTTTAATCTTATCTTCCTTAATTGAGGGAGATTGATCGGCTGAGAGTTTGAAATGTCCTGCAAGGGGGACTTTCACACTCTTAGAATTCTCTATTAAGAATTTCTTGATCACTTTCCTAAGGTAATCTTCCTGTGATTAGCATAACACCTTGTGCTGCCTATCCCTTTTAATGTCAATTCCTAAAATCCTCTTAGCATTACCTAGGTCTTTCATATCAAACTCAGAACCTAGGAGTCCTATTACTTTCTTAACAACATCAATAATAGCACTAGTAATTAGCATATCATCTACATATAATATAATATGACATATACTGCAAACTTAGTACCAATATCTTTAAAATATAGGCATGAATCATAATGACTCCTAGTAAAACCAGTTTGAGTAACATAGTGATCAAACCTTTTGTACCATTGGCGTGGAGACTGCTTGAGGCCATATAATGATTTTTTCAGGAGACAAACCTGTTTCTCCTTTCCTTTAGCCTCAAACCCCGGTGGTTGAGACATATAAATTGTTTCCTTCAAATCTCCATGGAAGAAAACAGTCTTCACGTCCATTTGTTCTAATTCCCAATGTTCATGAGCCACCAATGCTAAGATGGTTCTTATTTATGGTCTTGTATTTTACTACAGGGGAGAAAATTTCTGTGTAATCTACACCTTCTACTTGTGTAAACCCCTTGGTAACTAATCTTGCCTTAAACCTCCTTGGGTCTTTCGATGACAAACCTTCCTTGATTTTGAATACCCATTTGCAGTCCACTGCTTTTTGGTACTTGGGTTTCTTTACTAGAACCCAAGTGTTATTCTTTCTCAAGGATTGCATTTCTTCTTCCATAGCTGCTCTCCATTGGCTTGCATGTGAACCACTTACAGTCTCTGTGAAGTTCTTTGGTTCTTCTGTTTCCATTTCCTCGGCTATGTTGAGGGCAAGGGCGATTAAGTTCCTTCCATCATATCTCTGTGGTGGTCTTATATTTCTCTTTGGCCTATCCCTTGTCAGTTGATATTGATCTAAATTTTGGATTGGTATGGGCTGTTCCTCTTGTGCAGGTCCACTGCCTTCTTCATCTTGTTCATTCAGTTGAGTGTTTTGTTCATGAGTTTCTTCACTGCCCTTAGATAGACTGTCTGTTTGCTCTTTAGAATGTTCCACCTCAAATTGTACTTCTTGGGGTCGAAAAGTACCTGTTCCTGCATCAAGAACACTGGGAGCAGTATCTTTTTCTAATTTTAAATAAGGCATATCAAACTCATTGAACACAACATCTCTACTAATAATTACTTTATACTGTGAACCATTTCTTAAGCATAGTCTATATCCTTTAACTCCCTCGGGATAACCGAGAAAGATGCGCTTTATTGACCTGGGGTCTAATTTCTCCTCTTTTTGGTGAGCATAGGTTGCACACCCGAACGCTCTCAAGTTTGACAAATTTGGAGGTTTGTTTGTCCAACATTCCTCTGGTGTCTTTAAACCAATAGGTTTACAAGGACACCTATTAATTAGATAACAGGCTGTAGAAACAGCCTCCCCCCAAAAGTGTTTATTAAGACCTGAACTAATGAGCATGCATCTAACCTTTTCCATAATGGTCCTATTCATCCTCTCAGCAATTCCATTTTGCTGAAGGGTTTTCTTTACAGTTCTATGCCTTAGAATCCCCCTTTCTTGACGGTAATTAGTGAAAATCGTATGACAGAATTTCAATCCATTATCCGTCCTTAAGGCCTTTAGTTCCTATTCGTTTGATTTTCAACTAAAACCTTCCATTGCTTAAACTTATCAAAGCAGTCATCTTTAGTTTTAAGCAAATAAACCCATACCTTTCTAGAATGATCATCAACTATGGACAGAAAATACCTGTGACCTACGAATGTTGGCACCTTTTCTGGACCCCGGAGATCTGCATGGACATACTCCAAAGGTTCGTTGGCTCTATATGTCGAAGTAACAAACTTGACCCTGTGTTGCTTCCCAAGAACACACTGCTCACAAAAGTCCAGGTGCACAATCTGATTCATGAAGTCCTTTCTCACTCACATGAGCAAGTCTTCGATGCCACAACACAGCCTATGTGTCATTCTTTACTGCTGCAGCCGCTAAACCTGTGACAGTTAGGCCTTTAAGAACATATAAACCATGTTGTTTATTAACTTTAAGAATCACCAAAGATCCCTTTTGCACCTTGAGAACTCCACCTCAGCCTTGTAACAGTAACCTGCATCATGTAAAGTTCCTAAGGAGATTAAGTTTCTCCTTAGGTTAGGAATGTGCCTGACATTCTTGAGGACATGTGAAGTTCCATTCCTCAATTTGAGTGTCACGGATCCAATACCAACCACAAGGCATGACTGATTGTTTCCCATCAACACCTTCCCTCCATTCATGTTTTCATACTTTGAAAACCACTCTTTTCTGGGGCACATATGGTAGGTGCACTCCGAGTCTAGTATCCATTCTTCTTCATTTTGGACTAGGGTCACAACAAGCATTTCTGAGCTTTCATAACCATCACATTGACTGGCTATAGCAGCATCTCCACCCTCATTTGGTTTTTTAGCCAGCTGCTTCTTCCACTTATGGCAGTGTCTTTTTATGTGACCAGGCTTATTACAAAAGAAACATTTCCTCTTACTAGACTTAGACTTACATCTAGAACTGGGTCTATGTTTTGATTTTTCTGAATCTCTTTTCTGTGGCCTACCTCTCAAAAATAAACCCTCATCACCCCTGGCAGACAATTCATTCTTAATTTCTAATTCTCTTGATCTCAAGGCTAACAGAACATCCTCTAAAGTCAAGTTTTCTCTCCCATTCTTAATGGCATTTTTAACTTCTTTAAAGGTTTCAGGTAGAGAAATAAGTAAGATCACGGCTTGGTTTTCCTCTTCAATTTTCTCTCCAATATTGGCTAAGTCTATTATTATTTTATTAAAGTCATCAAGATTTTTTCAAGACTCTTGTTAGGATCCATCCTATAACTGAATAAACTTGTCTTGAGATAAATCTTATTAGTTAAAGACTTAGTCATATATAATTGCTCAAGTTTGAGCCATACCTTAGCCGCGGTGTCTTCTTCGTTAACCTGTCTATGTACATTATCTGACAAAAATGCAATTTCTTGCATCTCCTTCTTTTCTTCTTCAGTTCCTGAAACATCCTTCATGTCTCCTAGTGCCTTAACCACCTTTTGCTGAACCAGAATAGCCCTGAGTTTTTTCC